TGCCACTGTACTCCAGCCTGAGAGACAGAGTGAAACCCTTTCCTGAAGAAAAAAAAAGGAGAGAAAAGGAGACAGGAAAAAAAATGTATTTGTGTGTGTGTGTGTGTGTGCGTGCACGCGTGCACACGTGCGCCTTAAAAGGACTGAAAGGAAAACCCACTAAAACATTAATGTGTGTTGTCTTGGGGAGGGAAACTGAAAGGAGACAGATGATGAGTGATTTTTAAATTGTTTTAGTACATTCATATATTTTTATAATGACCATCAGTTACTTTCACTAGCAGAGAAGATAACACACACGTTTTTTTTTTTTTAATCATTTGCCAGAGAGGCCTAACTTCTATCAGAGCTAGGAAGAAGTAATTATAGTAATTACAGAAATTTTCTGTGGGCATTCTGATGGATTACTTCCAAGTGTTGCCACATTGCTGAAAAGTTCAGTAGCATTAATGCTGTTTTTTTTAATCATTACTTTCACTTCCTCAAGGCCCACAAGGTAGGCCCTTCCCGAGACCCTCCTGCTCTGAGGTGCAGATCCCAAAGCCAGCCTTGGATCACGCAGGCCGTCTGCCCTGGCCAGAATCCCCTGGTTACCAAAATCCACTGGCTACCCTACAGGATGGGGCAGTGGAAATCATCTATTGAGTATCCTGTCAGTGCCAAGCCCTTTCACAGGGTAATTGTAGTCCATTTTAGCTTCACAACAAGGTACAGATTGATTGGTAGTCCATTTTACAAGTGGGGAAAATGAGGCTCCCGTCGCTTGTAAAAAGTAGGCTCGGCCAGGTGTGGTGGCTCACGCCTGTAATCCCGGCACTTTGGGAGGTCAAGGTGGGCAGATCACCTGAGGTCAGGAGTTTGAGACCAGCCTGGTTAACACGGTGAAACCTCATCTCTACTAAAAATACAAAACATTAGCCAGGCGTGGTGGCACACGCCTGTAGTTCCAGCTACTTGGGAGACTGAGGCAGGAGAATTGCTTGAATCCGGGAGGTAGAGGTTGCAGTGAGCCAAGATCGTGCCATTGCACTCCAGCCTAAGCGACAAGAGTGAAACTCTGTCTCTGAAAAAAAAAAAAAAAAAAAGGTAGGCTCAAGATGGAAAGCTCGGACCTCTGGCTTTCAGTTGTATTCCTTCCATGAAACTGGGGACTGAGCCAGGCCTGCCCTGCAGTGACTCCAGTGTGTCCTGCGGCCAGGACACAGAAACCATGCCCATACGCCCACCTACTACCTCTGCTTTCCAGATGGATGATGAGGACTCCATTCTGCCCCGAAAGCTTCAGGTGGCCCTGGAACACATTCTGGAACAGAGGAACGAGCTGGCTCGTGAGCAGGACGAAGGGCCCCTAGACAGCAGGCACGGTAAGTGTTCGGCCGCCTCCCAGTGGGTCTCTCCCTTCCGCTCTGAGGGTCAGGGAACAAAAGGGCAGTGGCCAAGGGCCAAGTAGGAAAATGGGCAAGGGAGACATAAGGAGAGAAACTGGGGCCTCATTCTGTTTATCCGGATTTCACTCCCATGGTGAATTGTGGGAAAGGTTTTCCCACCTCCCCCATTTTGGCCCTAAAGTACCTGTTTAAAAGGGGGATGTGGAAATTATCTGGGCATGGTGGCACATGCCTGTGGTCGCAGCTACTCGGGAGGCTGAGGCAGGAGGATCCCTTGAGCCCAGGAGGTTGAGGCTGCAGTGAGCCATACCACTGCACTCCAGCCTGGGCCACAGAGTGAGACCCCATCTCAAAAAATCAAAAATTAAAAACTGGCCAGGCGCGGTGGCTCACACCTGTAATCCCAGCACTTTGGGAGGCCGAGGAAGGTGGATCACCTGAAGTCAAGAGTTCGAGACCAGCCTGGCCGACATGGTGAAACCACATCTCTACTGAAAATACAAAAATTAGCTGGCCATAGTGGCAAGCGCCTGTAATCCCAGCTACCTGGGAGTCCGAGGCAGGAGAATCGCTTGATCTAGGAGGCAGAGGTTGCAGTGGACCGAGATCACACCACTGCACTCCAGCCTGGGAGATAGAGCAAGACTCCATCTCAAAAAACATAAAAGGCTGGGGCCGGGCACAGTGGCTCACGCCTGTAATCCCAGCACTTTGGGAGGCCGAGGCGGGCAGATCACAAGGTCAGTAGATCGAGACCATCCTGGCTAACATGGTGAAACCCCATCTCTACTAAAAATATAAAAAAATTAGCCAGGCGTGGTGGCACACGCTTGTAGTCCCAGCTACTTGGGAGGCTGAGGCAGGAGAATGGCATGAACCCAGGAGGCAGAGCTTGCAGTGAGCCGAGATCGTGCCACTGCACTCTAGCCTGGGCGACAGAGCAAGACTCCGTCTCAAAACAAAACAAAAACATAAAAGGCTGGGTGCAGTGGCTCACCCTGTAATTCCAGTACTTTGGGAGGCCGAGGTGGGCAGATCACTTGAGGTCAGGAGTTCGAGACCAGCTTGTCCAACATGGTGAAACCCCATCTCTACTAAAAATACAAAATTTAACTGGGTATGGTGGTGCGCACCCATAATCCCAGCTACTCGGGAGGCTGAGGCAGAGGAATTACTTGAACCCAGGAGGCAGAGGTTGCGGTGAGTCAGGATTACGCCACTGCACTCCAGCCTGGGCGACAGAGTGAGATTCCATCTCAAAAAATAAAAATAAAAATAAAAACTTGTTTTTAACAATTTAAAATTTAAAAAATTAAGCAGGGAAAGAAATGTCTTAATAACGTAGGGTAACCCTCCTCCTGGATAATCACAGTTTCCATCAAGGGAACTAGCAGTTACTGTACTTTGATTACTAATTGGCTTGTCTCAAGGGCTCTGGCCCAGCCTGTCTGCCCTCACCGTTCCTGGCCTTTCCTCCCCTTACTCAGGCTCAGAGTCCAGCCCCTTGAATGAGGTGGTGTCTGAAGCCTTTGTCCGCTTCTTCGTGGAGATTGT